ATATATTTATATATATATATGAAAAATATATCAATATTGATGTGGGTACTCAAATGAAAGCTCTCGATGAGTGTAATGTCGGGATGAGCTTATATTTTTACAAATGTATATATTTATATATAATATATAATATATATAAATATATGAAAAATTGATGTGGGTACTCAAATGAAAGCTCTCAATGAGTGTAATGTCGGAGTGAGCTTATATTTTTACAAATGTCAATAGTTCACAAGATACAAGGCCATTTCTTTATTATGTCGATAGAGCATTTTTCGAGTGCAGCCCTAATATTTATCATTATTAATTAACTATCGCTGGAAATAATATGAAACCTTGAGAAGGCACATAATTCAAGTCAAGACAAAAATTTTGATAGTAAATAAGAAGTTTATTAGTAAACAAGAAGAATTTTGATAGTAAATAAGAAGTAGTTTTACTTTTTAGAATGGGAGAAAATATTCGAGAAGCATTCGCTACTGCGTTATTGGCGTATTTATTGAACGGCACGATACTTTTATGTATAATTGGTTACCAGATACTCGTCGTAAGTAATAATACTAATTACAATGATAAATTTATTTGTGAAAAAAATAAATAATTGGATTTATTGTTAGAATTTCATGACTGGACCGAACTCGGATTTAATGCAATACTTTATTTTTATATTTGCAACCTATTTTATAATCACTGTATTCTGCATCGTCAGTGAGCGTCTTATTACAGAGGTAATTATAAAGCTTGTTATGTTTTTTTTTATTGATTTAGAGTAACCATTTTTTTTTTCACGGATTTAGAGCAACAAAGTCACTGAAGCTTTTTGGAATAGCGAGTGGTACACAATGGAACGCGAGTATGTAAATGACATAATATTCTGCATTTCAAGATCTCAGAAATCACTCGCATTGCAAGCTGGAAAATTTGCATTCTTTGGTAATGGAACATTAACCGAAGTGACAAAGACAGCCATGGGTTACTTGTCAGTGTTAAGAAATTTTCTAATTGTCAATTAAAGTCTTCATATTTAGTTTCTAGTGTTATTAGGAATTTGCAAGAAAATTGATGCAAAATTTATTTAATGAAATAAAATTATAAATTATAACTAAGTTCAACTTTATCAATTTTTAATAATCCTTCATGCTCATTATATTTTAAAGTTAAAGAATTTTTAGACGTAAAAAATACAAGTAATACTCGTGAATACTTTGCATCATGACCTAAGTTTCTACGGTAGTACTTATGGACCCTTCATAAATATGGCCAAGAAGCTCCTTTTGGGTTCAAATGAATCAAACTAATCAAATTAATTAAATAAATTAATCATCTCTCCTTTTTCTATTTTTTTAGTATCTTGATAAATCTCACCGGATAAACTGTAGTATTTTTGACAAATCTTTAAAATGTAAAATTGTTATTTCCTACGTTTCTCTTGAAATTATAAATAATATTTTTCTTTTATTGTAATCTCATTGATGTATATTGCCGATTGGCGTTTTCTAAATAAATAAATAAATAATAATAAATACCTTCCTGGAAGTGAAAAATTACAATTTGTGTCATATGTAGTCTTCTTTGAGTCAATTTAATAAACACCCAGAAACTTTTCTTTGTCTTCTATATTATCCTTCCCTTTCCCAAATTTATAAAATTGGCCACTTTTCATTCTACTAAAAAGTATTTTACTTTTTTTGTAAGCTCTACTTGTAATCAAAGCTTTTTACAAGTAATAAGAATAAAATTACATAAACTAAAAGAGCGATATCGACAGCTGATGACAACTAAATTAAATATCTTGCAGAGGATTTGTACCTGGAAAAAAGATGTTCTGCGAGTAAGATAATAGCTGTCTATAATAAAAATCGTTCATTATATCCGATTAAAAGTTGTTAATTGCGCAACAATTATATGTATAGCGCTGACTATTTTTCTCCTCTTGAAAGTTTTCTTCAGCGATTGTCTGAAGCTTCTCAGCCCCATTCTGATCGAAGCAGTACAACCGATAGGACATGGAAGTCTCTGTGGAAGTGAGTGTCTTTCGGCTTCTTATATTGTACCGTACTGAAAAAAAAAAAAAAATAAACTTGAATCAAGAACAAAAATTCTTGAATTTCTTCTCAAATAAAATTTACTTAAACCAACAAAAATTTCTTAGTTTAAAAATTTTTCTACTCAAATCAAAAAGATAAAGTTCTTCAAAATTATTTACTTGATTCATATCTTTAATAAATTTCTTCTTTAGGATCAAAGAGACCTAGATGAAGGTATAAAAATGTTTTATTGGGGCGAAAAGGTGTCCCGAGGCATCGGTGCGTGGCCTTTAGCTCCAAACAATAATCTTTTCACAGTATTTTTTATCTACTTGACTGTTGTTGGATCACTTGAATACGTCTCTCTTTTTAAGGAGTACATCGACTTCACAAGCGCAATTGATATGATTACTGAAATTCTTGCATTCCAGCATATTTATGTGTCCGTATTAATGTTGAGAGTTCATACTGATAAACTGCGTTATTTAATAACAGAGTCGCTGAAGGACTACCAAATGAGCGCTTTCAAAAATTCGTTAGAAATAAAAATATTCATCGCGTATATCAATAAAGGCAGAGCTTTTGCTAAATTTGTCATCACTTTTATAGCAACGACAGCGATTTCTTGGTTTTTTATGCCCTTAACAGCATTAGCCGCTCCAGGTAACTGCTTCAATCTTGATCAACACTCTGTCATTGCACTCCAAGTTTGATAAATAAGCTAGTATGATCCTAAAAATAATTTCCCTGGCGGTTTCGGCAACACGGTGAAAGCACAGTCGATTGACGGTTGTTTCACGGTCGTTTCACAGTCGTTTCACCGTATAAAGTCCGTTGTTACCGAGCGAGTTGTCAGTCTGCATCGGATACAGTTGTGAACGATATTCACTGTGAATTAACAGAATATATAAGGTGCAAACGCAAGTGAATCTACGATGTTATGACCGACACCGTACGCTCAATATACTGTCGAAATACGGTGATTTTACGCTACTGTCACGGACAATAAAATAAAAAAAAATACTTCGAGCAGTCTAGACCGGGACTCGAACCCATTTCATCTGGTCGCGCGCCCGAATCTATACCAGTTAGGCTATCTGCGACGTTGCACGTAAGATCGATTCAGTGACATGATAAGGTGTCAAAACCAAGTCATTTTTTTATCGTACAGATAAAAATAGCTTAAATAAAGTTATATTTTTTCCAGGACTTCAAAATAATAATCGTAATAAATGATTAAAATTTTTTATGATTACGAAATTCTTGATTTCGAAATCACGGTAAAATTATTAACTGTATAAAAAAAAAGATCTGGAATAGAAATTGCTAAAAATTTAATTGCTAAAAAAAAGTATCTCATAATAATTTCTCTTGATAACAAATAATTTTTCCGTAATTTCGAAATTAAAGTTTTCGTCTAAAAAAAAAAAAAAAAAAACTCAAATCTTTAATAAAGAATTCAAATTTTGGAATTACGGTGAAAATATTTGACGTGCAGAAAATAAGTTTATAGTTAAGTTGAAATTAAATTATAATGTATTAATTAATTGTTGAATAAAATATCTTCCGATTAAAAAAAAAAAA